AAACAAAAGAGCCAAGCCTGGGCCTGACACGAGCCAGTCACTGTTTGAAGTGATGGGGTGAGGGGGGGCTGGGGGGTTGGGAAGCTGAAGGTTTTTGGGGCTCATGGAGCTTGGCCTAGTTTCTCGTGTCTGATCAGTAGCGTATGCACCTCATATCTCAACCTTCGCTGCAGGTAGTCAGTGTAGTCAGTGTAGTGCATGTCAAACATCTGGCGGCTTCAGCAGACACGGAGACGCTCCTTTGAAGAGCTCTGGTGGCTTCTGCCAACACGGGGACAACAGAGGGAGAGTATAGCCTGGAGAATCAGTAGCAATTATGAATGTATGAAAAGTATACAGAGGGATAAAGAAAGGGCTTAGTGGAAAGAACTTGAAAAGCAGCCCAGCTGCATAAGGTTTCACTACATTCTCAAATTCAGCGGCTTCAAGGGCTGGTCCACCTATTTCTTACAGCTATTATAACACCCGACACTTTGACATTGTGATTTACAATAGACAAAGCATGTTACAAATGATGAATTGTAACTCAATTAGGGCTGGAGAAAATGATATTTTTGCAATTGTATAGCTACATATTGTGAATATGATACACTTTTTAAAAGAGCCATTTTATGGAAAACATCTAATTTTCTTCATTTTTTCAAATAAAAGAGTTTATGTAAACATTGAAGGGGAAATCCACAGATTTTTCAACATGTCTGCATAATTTAATGGTTAAGATGTAAACAAAGTCGTTCACGATTTGATGTGAAATGCTCCGTCTAGAGAAACTTACAGAGACAGAATTGTTCACAATGGAGGTGAAGGAACCAGACATCTGAAGAAAGTTCTTTCATGAACTGAATATGCTGCCTGATGTCCAGTTTTGAGAAGATTTTGACCTAAAATGCATTTTTTACCCCATTCATGGCGAAGAAATACATGCAGGGCATTGTAAGGCAAAAAATCCCCCAAAGAAAATGTTTTTTTTTTTTCAGATTTATATTATACCATCATCAACATTACATATAAAAGCTCAGAAGGCATGTGTGGATTCACTGGTCATTTTGGATAGTAAATAAAATGGCTATATATTTTGTGTTGTAGTCATTGAAATCCCCAGTTCCTATCACAACCACTGTAAATAAATCAGAGTAAATTTCTCTACAATGAACCATTTCACCTCAAACCACTATGAATGCCTCTGCTTGCATCCCAACCACTGAATTATGCAGAGGTTTTGAAAAATTGGTGAATTTCCCCTTTAAAGTTTCAAAATGTTCATTCCCCAGTCCGTAACGTCCATATATAGAAATTAATCTGCAAATTCAGCCACTTTTTGTGATGTCAAATCAGTTTCATTTACCCCCCATTCAGCCTACATTTAACTTCACCTATTCACATTGTTATGAGGAGTGTGTCTGCTTGGACTGCTTCTTTAAATGGTGTTTGTTTTGGTATTTGTACATGATTTTTGTCATCTTTGTGGAGAGGTGTATATTTTTTTCACAGCAGGGGGTTCTCACTCTGTCTTCACAACCTCATTGCTCACCAACAGCTCAACTCTGAGTGTGGAACACACAGCAGTGTTCTAGTTACTATGATTACACAGTTAAGGAGAAATATATTTCATTTGATTATATTAATTAAAAAGGTCTGAGTTGGTTTCTATGCTGCTGATGAAACAGCCACTAGAGGGCCTACAGTAAGAGGTTCAAGACAGTAACGAAAACAACCTGTTTATTTCTAAGAGTTACAGAAAAGCTAGAAAATGGTCATGTAATAAAAAAAGGTTCTGACTGTTTTTGGTACAAAATACCACACAAATATTATAAGCAAAAAACTATGAAAATGCAGGACGATATGGACCATTTAATATACAAATATGTTTTGGTATTTGATATGGTATAAGACTAACCTGTATTATTTTGACTAAAATAACTTACCTTTGTTGGGTCATATGGAGCTTTGTTTATCAAAACACACAATTAATCAAGGTGATAAGTTACACGGCTGATGTGCATATTGTAGCATTCAGCAATATCAGTGTTACAAAGGCCAATATCATGATAAACATCAACAAATGATATATTGTGTAACCTTAACTTGAATCTGGAATTATGTGCATTTGTGCAGCGTTTCAAAACAAACACTTTCATAAATAACTGGTTTTCATTCAGTCCACTCGTCCAGTCATACAGGTCACTTTAACCTATGTAAAAGCATAATTAGACATTTGCTCTAAGACATTTATGTGAAGTATATCTACTGCATATAAATACACAAGTGTTGGCATCACATATGAAGAAAAACACATTTACAGTCAACAGAACTGCAGCATGACTTGTTCCAGGCCATAAGTGAATGATAATTGCATATTAATTCTTTAGCATATTTTTCTACTACCAAACATAGTTTTGATATATATAAACATTACAATGAAAAAATAACAATAGCTTCTCACGTATCATTCACTGAGCAATTTTTCACATGAATAAATATTTTATATGTTTGCACAAATGTATGAATGATTAGCACAAATGTATGAAACATATGCTAATTTTACTTCTACATCTGGTGTTAATTACAGACAGAGGGTGGAGGATGGCTGGAAGGAAGAGAGAAGGGCTCAACAGAGTCACTCTCTCAGATAATGAATCCTAACATGCCCTACGGAAAACTTCCAAGTCCACTATAAGAATCTTTTTTTCAGAATTGGTTGCATTTCTATCTTATTTCTAGATTTCATTTAAAATGCACACCAAATTCACACACACACTGCACTGCAATACCAAAATAACAATGTACACTTCTTTGTGTCAGTTGATTTTTAACCTTCATTCTGAATTCATTCTGCTCAAGTGCAGGTTCTCTTTTCTTTCTCTTTTCTTTTCATCCATTGTGACCCTCCCTCCTTCCATCTCGTTGCCCTCGTGCATGCTCTCCATGTCAGGCCCAGCTGTTACTACAAACTACTTGGAGCGTTTACAAGGCCTGTAGTGAACACTGACAACCGAGCTGTTCTTACCCAAACCCCACTGCGCTCTCCAGACCACTATACTACAATTATCACCTACCTTCTATTTTTGGGAAAATGACTGTGATATCGTTATATATTATGTGATGAATAGCATATGTTCTTTATTTAATGGGAACAGTAAAGGTATGTATAAACGAACTGTATTCTTTTTACCCCTGCAGTTCCTCTGCGTACTGCACAACACCCTCGGGGTTAATTATTACGATTTACCCAGGCTCTCCTTACCCAAGGGAGATTCCTGTTTTTATTTACCAGTTTTAATTTTCCCAGTGGTTGCTATCTGTGCATTTTTTTTCATTGATTTGATGTTGTTGCTGCCGAAACAAAATCTATTATCTATCTTCAAAATATTCAGGAGGCAATTATGTATGTATATATATATATATGTATATATATATATATACATGTATATATACATATACACACACACTATATATATATATATACATATATATATATATATATATATGTATATGTACATACATATATATATATATATATATATATATATGTGTGTGTGTGTGTGTATATATATATAAAATACATGTGTGTGTGTTTCTGTGTGTGTGATTATGAACCATTTTTATTGGTCCTTTCATCGTGAAATTTTGAAGCAATGTAAAAGGCTGGTATTTGCAAATGATGACAAAAAATGAAGAATGCAAGAAATGGTAATACAAAGTTTGGCTTGACTGCATCTAAATATATATCTTTTAGTTCCTAACAGATTTTTCATTTCATGATAAATGGACCAGTAGAAATGGTCCAAAGCCATTTCTTAAGAATGTTTTTTTTCCCTCCAGTAAAGTTGATGTTTTTGAGATACAAGATTTTGTTCTGACAGTTTTTATAGTAAATAAATAAATAAATAAATACATAAGCTGACATATAACTCAACTCAATGCCTTTTTATTTATCTAATAATAAAATATGAATGATAGATTAATCATAATATAAAAGAAAATTTATGAAAGTGGCATTTAACATGTTTTGGAACAAAACCACATATAGTTGTTTTTCTAATTATCAAATTTCATCACAAATATCACTCTTATTAGCTTTTCACTTATATGTTTACCCCCAAAAAACCTGTTGTCTTTGGAATCCAACTAAATCAGACCCTCTCACCCAAGAATAGGGCTTGACCTCAACAAACCTCTTAAGTGATTTTTTAAATTGAGTAAGTTTTATCACTATCCTCTTGTGTGTGATTCCTGTGACCTGATTATGAGCACGACCTAAACTGTAGTACCTAAGCGTGTCTCTCCATCCGCTCTGCTTTGCTTTCTCTGGCCCTCGGGCTGCCCACCCCTCCCCCACTCTGCTCTGTTATGATCCCCCAGTCCAGCTCTATGAATCAGCCATAGGGAGAGAGAGAGCGCTCCAGTTTTCTGGTCATGGTCACAGTTGGGCCTGAATTAGCCATTCAGGAGCAAAAAAATATATATATATTTGAACTTCAGGAAAAATGCTTTTGTACTTGCATATTTTTGTCACCCCTTCAGCCTCAATACAGTTCACAGATATTCTGCTTAAAGCTGTATCATTTTAGCAAGTAATATTCGAGTCTTAATATGCTATATTCAGGCAAGAATGCAATGAAATGCCTTATTTACAAGCAGTAAACAAGAAGGTAAACTTTTATCAATTTTGTATCCAAATGAATTACTAAAAGCAGCAGGCTACACGGTTTGGCATTTCTTTTTTAACAAACTATAAGCAAATTATTCACGTAGTGCTTTTAACTGCATAAGCAGAACAATTTCTAGTGCAGGAGACAACGTTAACCAGAGCAATAAAATGATGTCACAAGCTGCTCTCATGGCCCACGTCACTAACAAGGGCGGGCGTTGGCTGAATACGCGATCAGCTATTGGCTACCATAACCGTTCATCACATTGTACGGCTCTCCCATTGGCTACTCCGCTGCGGGTTTATCTCCCCATCTCATGCTGCTCCAGTACGCGTCGCGACTTATTCCTCTACCGTCTACGTCCGCCGAAGTATATAGTCCACCACGGCGGTGCTGTTTTACGATGGGTTCTCAACTGTAGACAACTGCATTGTGCGTTTCAATCCACTCTTCTCACTGCTCTATTTATTTCGCTTCTTAACAACAGGGCGCCAAAAATCTTGGTCCTCCTCGGAGTATTTGAAACTGGACACCGCTGGCGTTTGAGGCCCCTCTTTTCCGCGCGGAGGAATACGTTGTTGCTGCTGACAATGTGGATGGAGGTGGTTAAGATGTCTACTAGAAGAATGAATTCATCTCAATTGTAGCAACAAAAAAGAGGGGAGTCGCGAGAGAGGCTGTTTGGATACCGACTGTTTACTTTCGTGTTTTTTAAGCGTGGATTTTCTATCGAAGGATGTTTAAAGCGGAATTCGGAGACGTTTCGCGGTGATACGACGCTTTTCTCTGCGCCGAGGTTCAAATTCTCCTCTTCAAGTTTGTTGTTTTTTTTTTCTTTCCTCCTGCTAAGAGTCAGCCTTTGCTATATAGCCACTGGATGTCAAACATCTGATAAAGAAAGGTGAGCAGGCTCGGTTTTACTTCTTTCTGCACTTGTTTTTGTGCGGTATACTCTATTTACTTAAACCCCCGTTTAGGTTAGGCTGGGGAGTCACTTATTGTTGTGTGTTAAACTTCCAATTTCCCTTCGAGTAAGTTTTCTTATGGGAAGTGGAGGAGGGGGGCCATGCCGGGGTTTTGTGTAGAGGGGCTGAAGTGGCCTCTAATCAGTTCTATCTCAACTCCAATGACTCTTTTGTTCCTTTTATCAATATAAGGATTTAGGGGTTAACTTTGTTTGACTGCTATCCTGACCTACCAGACCACTGGTTGTCACTTGCAAGTCATTTGTGAGCATCTTCAACGTGAATTTCGGGCAGCTAAATTCGGTTTGTTCACCAACACTCACTCAGCAGAGAGCTGAACTCACAGCCACTTTTTTCAGCAGTCGTTAAATGACTAATAGGCAAGTCTCACATTTTTGGCAGGAAATTCCTCTTGCTCCCCCCTCTTCCCCAACCCCCACTGTCTGCTCCCTCGGCTCCATCAAATAATTTCTACGAGAAAAAGTTGACGATCTGACGTCGGACGAAGGTGAAGCTGGCTTTACTCGTCAGCTTCTTATTCGACTTTTCCCGTTCCACCTTAAATGGTGCAGCAGTTACGCGCCAGAATGCAACTGCTGCACTATTTAAGGTGGAACGGGAAAAGTCGAATAAGAAGCTGACTTCAGCCTCGTTAACGTTGGCTAGTTTGGCAACTCCGTAGATGAAGTTCATAACATGAAGAGCAAGGCTAACCTAAACTTACCCCTCACACTCAGCCTGCATGTTGAAGAAATGCTTATAACTGAAGCTCCTCCTTTGATGTCTGCAATGTTGGCCGTGTCTTAGTGTAGGTTGTTCTCATAATGTCGTGGACAAACCGGTGCAAAATGAAGGTTTATGACCTCTTTGCTGTTGGAAATGGTAGCTAACGGAGTAGAATGAGTTTACAACCCGGTATAAATATTTACATTGTTCCAGTCTGGGCAGCTCGCCCTGCCTATACACAAAGAGGGGAAATGGCATTAGTTAAGAAATATCGCCACACTAAGAAAATGTTTATGTTTTTTAATGCCTAGTTTGCATTCTCTATCTTTTAAATCGTATTTCCTTCGGGTGATCCGGGCTGCACTTCAAATAAAGGGGAACTCCGCCGATATTTCTACATTTTTGCATAGTTAAATGGGTATCATGTCAACAGACTCATTCAGAGTGGTTTGGGATGAAATGTTCAGCTGTAGAGAGTCTTACAGATTCAGAATTGTTCACAGTGGTGGTGATAGGAACCAGAGGTCTGAGGAGTTAAACGCCTCTTAAAGCTTCCTCCCAGAAAGTTAGAACATGAAATGTTTATGAATGTGTCTGAAACATATTTTAATCAATTTATTTTAGTCAATTTGTGGTGGAGCTACACATGAAAGGTTTTCTAAGGAAAAATAGTCCCCCTAAAACTTATTTTTTCAGATTTGCCATTATTTTACCAACATCAGCATTGCATAAACAAACTCAGAAGACATGTGTAAGTTCACTGGTGGTTTTTAAAGGTAAATAAAATGGCTATGTTTTTGTTGTAGAGATTACGACCCCTGGTTCCTATCACCCCACTGTAAAGCAGTCTGAGTCTCTAAGTTTCTCTGCAAAGAACCATTTCACATCAAACCACTCTGACTGACTTGATTTCTATCTCAACCAATGAATTATATTGGAATTTTGAAAAATTGGTCAAATTTTTGTTTATCATGTTGTTGTTTTGTTATTCATATTCCACATAATTTTCAGTGCTTTGCATTTTTGTGGTGAGTTTAATAACAACCCAAATGGCCCTCAGCTTCAAAACAGCTCACGAAAAAATCAAAATTGCACAATTTTGTCCTCAACCCAAATACAACCAAGACATGTTTAGTGTCTGAAGTTTGCTGCTTTGGTCTTGCACTGGAGGTGTCTGTCACTGGATAAGATTTTGAGTGACGCAGACGTCCATTACTTGTTAGCTACAGTAGCCTTGTAGTAAAACTGTAGAAGCAAACATCAGGCACCAAACATGTCTTGGCTGTTCCACTGAGTTCGGGGTTTAGGGAAAAATTGTGCAATTTTTATTTTTCGATTAATCTGTCCTTTCCATATTACTTTTAGCTTTTCACAAGGCCCATCAGAGCACACACTTGAAAGGGTTTCCATCTTTCTTTAGCACTGTTATCATTGTTGAGAAAGTGATGCCATTTTGCAGAGGCAAAGCTCTTGACCTGAGCGAGAGGTTTTGATGGAGACTTTTTATGTGGAAGACCACAAATTGGCAGAAGAAATTCCTTCCCCTTTTGGCTTTCCACCGTGCTTTTAAGTGCAAGTACTTGGTTGTGTGGAGGTCTGTCTCGCCACTCTGTTGTAGGGCACTCTGTCTTGAACTAGGCCTGATGACGACAAACAGTTAGTTTGATGGAAGCATAAGAATGGAGGATGTGTGCCTTAAGTTTTGTTATAATGGGCTATTAAAGTCCTCACTTTTATGCTTGGGATATAACAGGTCATGCCAAACTCTGCAGCCAGTTTGCTTTAAAAGCTGACTGACCAGTGGTTAAACTCTGTCTTGCCTCCTTATTGTGGTATATATGTAACAGAAATTAAGTAAGTATTTAAGTCTAGTCAGGTAAATAGTTATTTTTCATTGTAATGCAAGAGAGTTCTTATAGATTGGCTTAGTTTTTGTTTTGCTGCTAAATTGTGGTCCTGAACTTGTGATTGCTGCAAAGTGGTGGGAGAATGATTTGCTGATGTTAGCTTATTCCAGTGGATTACAAAACACATCTTAGTCTGATTTCTGCCGATTAAATACCACTTATATTTATTACGTATCGCCTTGGTGCAGGGAAACTTTTAATTCAACTACACAGTTTATAATACAGTTGTAGATAACTTTGGGTCAATGCAGAAGTAAAAACCAAAACCACAGTGTAAAATCGAGCCTGGTTTACCAGTTTGTCATTTTGATGTCCCTGCTTTGACGTTTAGCATTGAACAACTTGTTTTTTGTAAAAAAGAGGTTGTTTAATGTGCTTTTTGTCTTTTCCACTGCATGCTCTTCTCTTCAAGAGTTTAGTTTTATTCACGTTAGTTAAAACTTTCTCTTACAGGGCTCTTTAAAGACGGTGGGGCATGAACAAGCAGCAGGACCACACAATGGCGGTCGAAACAGATAAGGAACTCAGCGACCTCTTGGATTTTAGTGCGGTAAGAAAAAAGAGAGAATGTGGGGGGTTGGGCTAGGAGGTGGGCCTTGGTGGTAATGTGGGGGGGTGTTGTCTGGGGGTTTTGGGAGTTTGGAGTTTGGTTGAGGGCACACTAGAGAAGTTCATTACCTGATTGCTGATTGAGGCTCTGCGTTTAGATTACAAGCTTGTTGAAATGTGTATGTGCTCTGTGTTTTTGAATTGAAAGGCTGTGGGTCCATGCTGTGTCAGAATTATGATTGTCAGACCCTTTTTCACTTTGTGATGATGATGATGATGATCTTCACTCTTGGTTCTTTTCCTTTTAGTGACAAAAGTGCTTGCATTCAAGCCATCGGCAACAGTTTTTGTTGTATGAAACTGTTAGACATGCGTTCCTGATCTAGGCAGGTACACAAAGACATTTTACGGCGACATGCAAACATTTGCTGTCAATTTTGCCCCTAGCAGCACGCAACATCTATGCAGCAAGACAAGATTGTGGCAAAGAATCTCGCATGGAAACTCACCTCAGTGGATGCAGTGTGGAATGTTTGTTGTGCTCAGATTGAGCTTAATGGTCAAGCAGCAGTTTGTGATTTCTTTTCATTATGCCTTTTGAACATTTCTTTTAAAACCATTCATTAGAGTAAGATTATGGTTGGAATATAGGTCATTATGGCAACTGTTGGAAAAAAGCTAGCAAGCGTGTTTTCATTTCAATTTGTAGAACAGTTTGCTGTGATGGAAATCTGTCTTTTTTTTCTTTTTAGTAATATCAGGAGGTGCAAGTGTTTGAATCCTAATAAGGAAAACATTGTATGGCTAGAACAGTGAGACTGCAGTCATTCCACATTTTTCATTCCAGTGAAACTGCTTAGACAGGCCTAACCTCAAGAGATTTGCTGGCTACATATATTAGAGACTCTGCTCTGTCATCAGGTTTACTGTAGTTTACAGATGCAAAATGAGGAAACTTAGGTTAGCAAAGCTTACCTGCCAATATTGATCACTTAATCACACTAAAAGCTTTGGAAACTTGACGCATACAATATTAGATTCTAGCCCTGAGTGTTTTAGGATGGCACTGATGAATTCACTGTTCATTCGTTCATCAGTTGGGGTGCCTTGAGTTGTTTCTGTAATGACAGAAATATGAGAATGAGTAAACCTAGTAGAAGATGTGGGTTGTGTTTGGTCATGCTTCTTCATGACCAAATTAGCATTGTTTTGCTTTGACATCATGACATGAACGGAGTAGAAGAATCTAAAGTGAAAGCCACTTATTCTCTAACATGAAAGACGCTAATTTTCTTTTTAAACTTTCACAGTTGGAGCAATGCATGGTTATTGTCTCTTTTTTGAGGTTTTTGAGGGTTTAAGTGCCTTGCTCAAGGGCTTCATGTCAGTGATTACAGCAAGGGCAAAGACATTAGTACCTGTCGCCCTCTGGAAGGATCCCTTTGGCCAACCAACTGGGATACATGCCAGCATTTTTTTTTTTCTTCTTTTCTTCAGTGATATTGCTTTTCCCAATAATACTGTGCTATTCTGTAAAAGTACTGTAATATTTAAATCCTGGTTTTGGCAGATTAAACACTTAATCAGCATTGGTTGATTTGGAGAAGTAATATAATAATACATTTTTATGCACTGACTATATATTGTGGGTGAGTAAACATGCACTTTTTTGAGGTAAATTGCTGGTAAATTGTTCCATTGGTTCTCTAAACATTAGTAATAGACAATGTTTTCTTTAAATAAATACATTTCTTGCATGAGAACATTTAACTGACACTGGAGCTTAAAAACACTAACATTATGGCTAAAGCTAACTATGCTTGAAGGAACCGAGGAAAGAGTAATGTTATGGCTGTAAGCCTTCGGCATTGGCCCAGTTCATTGTCAGTCCTTCTACGTCAATTGTGGGGAAGACATTACTTATTTTAATAGAAACACTGTTGTCACCAATATTTTATGTCTAAATGTTATACATTTAAATACATGTAATAAGTTATAGAAATGGAAATTTATTTTCCATAGTGTCCCAGCATCAGTTCATTCATAGTCTTTGTGTTGTTTTTTTATTTGTGTGCTGATTACACAGGGGTCTTCATTGCAGAGAAAATGTAGTAACATAATATTGCCATATACATTATTTATTGAGAAAACAAACACAAACCAACACATAAATAAATAGGTCTGTAATTCGGGATCTGTGTCCGGCTCTGTTGTTTGAGTGTACCTGTTGATATAGGCCTCTGTGTTACATTACTTCTGTGTCCTTTCTTTCCTCCAGATGTTTGCGCCCCCTGTGGCCAATGGAAAGAACAGGCCAACCACACTTGCCAGCAGTCAGTTTGGTGGTTCAGGTAAGATTGTTTTCTCTGCCACCTCAAAATATTAGCCTTCTCTTTCTATCAGTTGTTCTTTCTGTCTTTTTCTCTTTTGTGTAATATTAATATGTAGCATATAATTGTTAATATTGTGTCTACCTCTCAACATGCATCATAACTTGAGATTGTTATTTGAAGTTGAAAGGTCAAGTTAAGGGCCCTTCTTTGAACACATTATCTTTTTTTGCTTGTTTGACCTCCTTTACTTCCCATTCTTTGTGTTTACTCTCGTCATTGGTGAGCCTGGCACCACATCACATGGTTCTGCAATCTTAGAGCTGTGTTAAGAGCTTGAGGTGTCCTTGCATTTCTCTCAGACTTTCTCAGGCATGTGTGCTTTTCTCCCCATCGACACACCAAACATCTCCCTGAATAAGAACAATCTGAGAACAAAGGGTTAAATGAAGGACTTATGGTCTCCAAACGATTCCCCCACCCCACGGCATAAAACACTCCTCCCCCTGAACAACAGAGCACTTTCTCCCCCCACCGACTCGCAGGAAACGGCTCTGCTCAGAAACAAAGCCTCCTCCATGCCCCCTACTATCTCTGGAGCTCCCCACCAGCCCAGTGTGAAGATAGCAGAGGACGGTCTGAGAAAGATCAGTGGAATATTTCTCAGTTTAGGGCTTACTTAAATGGTGTTTATTTAACGGCGACAAACTAATCTCTCAGTTTGAGGTCGTGTCATGAAAGCTTCCGATTGATACCAGGGTGACCTGGCCTTATGAATATGTCTGGGGTTGATAAGAAATAATAAACAGGTTGTTGTAAAAAGTCGTTTAAGATGCTGCAAATTACAGATATAGAAAAACAGACAGCGGCAGCATAATTTGCTAAATGTTTGCTTAAGTCCTTCACAACTGCAACATTTTTATGTTCAGGTACAGTTTTGCACCTTATCACTTGGTGACAAAAGCCTGCAAAGAAAGCGGCACACCTGATTCTAGATCAACCGTACTTTGTTTACTAGTGATAGGCATTAGTTGACCACAGATTCTCTAACACACATACTTTGGTGTTTTCATTCTGAACATGACTTGTCTGCAGAATAACTTGAACATCCTTCATTGGAGATGGTTTGAAGAGAATTTATTTAAAGTAACTGACAAAATTACACATATAGAGAAAAATCTGATAGCGCTAGCATCATGTTTGCTGAAATGCCTCATGACAGCAAGATTTCTATATATATCTCCAGGGTCTGTTTTGCTCCTCGTAGTGACAAAAGCCTGCAAAGAAAGCGGCACACCTGATCTTGGGTCTGTCATCCTTTCATAGGATGTTTACAAACCTGTCGACAAATAGCAGTATCCTAATATTGGCAGCTGGTTTTATGTGTTTCTAGAATAAGAATCGTTGAGACTTATTAACTAGTTTGAACGGAAAAAACATGCTGAACAGTTTGAATGCAGGAGAACATTATAGAACAGTGTGATTGGGCTAAATAACCTTTCTAGAGCTTTTTGAAAGATGGAAAACATTGTAGAGTCTCCCAGTAGACTCCCAATGCAACCCAATGTTTGGGTTTGTTGGAGAACTTTGGGTCGTTGTGCTCTGGTCTTGAGAAATGAATATCATCTTGGAAGAAGTAATGGCCTTCCAGTTTGCATCTGTTCCTCAGGACAAAAGTGCTCGGAAGGGTGCTAATTGCATTAAACCCCTGCTCCCCCTCCGCAGTGTGTTGGTGGAGAGTCATCTTTGCGGGAGAGCTTCACCCCGAGGGGGCTCAGCCAGGCGTCCTCTCGCTCACCTCCACAGCTGCCTGTCTCGTCACCCGCTGAGGCCAGCGTTAAGACAGGACAGAGCCCATTTCCCTCTTTCTCACACCCTGCCACCCTATTACACGCTCGGACACCTGAACTCTTTAAGCTGCAGGCTTGTTGTTTAGTAACTACTATATTATACTAACTCTAGTAACTACTGTAAAACTAACATGTTATTTATGTACCGGAACAAACTAAAGTGTGGGCCCACAAATGGGTCCTTGCAGTTTAACTGTTTAAAGAAAAGTACTGGTTTCTAGTTTCATGCTTTGCTCGGGCCAGATTCAGAGGATACTTTGGCTGCTGGGTGATTGTCTTTGTTTCCGTTCTTCGCCAAATTAGATTTAACATTTATTCTGATTGCTTAGGTGTAGGAATTTGGTCTTAAAAAGTGTTGTCAGGGGTTTTAAGGTGTTTTTCTGCTCTCAAACTCTCAAGACATCACCTAATCTAGTTAGGCTTACCAGAACGGATGTTTATCATTTACATGTTTAGCCATGCAAGACATGGTAAGCACTTACTGAAACTGAATGAATGGTTAGGAAAGCTTGTGGTGCAGTATGCTTTCCTGTATTCATTTCTCAACAAGACTGTTGGCTAAAGTTTAGCCTGCCTTAAGACTACCAGCACTGTGAATCGAACTGTAAATAGGGCTGGGTTATATGGGGAAAATATAATCATTTCAAAACATTTCCAAGATGTACAGTGTATATATTTAGTTTTTCTGAAGTTTAAGTTTTAACAGGAATCAAAATCTATCGGTACAGTGATTACAGTAATTACAAACAATATGTTACCCATCCTGGTCTGCGCTAAACCCAATTAATCAGGACCAGTTATGCTTTTTTTTTTAAACGACACATGCAGCTGGTCAGTGCTCTGGACAGACAATACTGCTACATATATACTCAGTAAAGCATATTATCATGTAATGATAAATATTGTTGTGTTGCCCAGTCCTATGTGTAAGTCATTTTGTCTGCAGAATTACAGCAACTTTGCTGTCATCAGCTGTATTTCCTTTTAATGTTTAGACTTTTATTTTTTTTATTTATTAAACATTTATTTTTTTGGCAACTTCTACTAGTTTTGGGGGAGAAGCTGCAGTTAAGGGAAAAGTATTTACATTGGGCTGCACAGTATATGTTCATTAATTATTGTTTTGATGTTGTCCTTTGCATTGCTGATGTCTCAGAAGGCTGCAATACATTAATGAGCCATCTAGACAGTAACAATGGTTTTTACTGTGTGCTGTGAACATCTTGACCAGTTACAGTTTCAAAAATGTGGGTAGTTACGATTTTCATGTAATCCAACAAAAGTAAATTATTTTGATCAAAATTAGTCCAGGGCAGTTCTTTAACGCGTGACATTATCTAGCAGTATATGGTAATCACGGTATCTAGCGATGTAATCGCAGTACGAGAATTTTGTCCATTGTGAAGCCCTAGTCTAATTAACTTTGTGAGTATTCAGAGGTTCTTCATAGACCAGTACTCTTTAACTCCTATAGAGCTGCCAAAGATCTGCCATAGCTGCCAGTGAAAGCCTAAATTCAACCCCCTGTGATGCTCAACCTTCTTATGACATTGCTGTCGTTTCATACTCCCTCTGAATCTGACTTTCCATTCCTTCATGTTCCCACCTAAAATGATTTTTATATGGCGGATTCTTTCACGAGGCCGGTCGGTGCCCGCTTCATTTGCCATGCTGCCTGCGTAGGCTCCATAGATCACGGCTGTCAGCGTGGATGTCGCTATTTGCACTGCTTTGTTAGCTTCATCACTCATGCTCAGCCTTCAGCCGCCGTGCTTGCCGAGACCCCCTCTTCCCTCACACATTTTTAATTAGACCTTCAAAAAAAAAATCAAAAGGAGAATATGAATATTCATAAAGCAACTGCATTAATATGCACAATTATGCAAATCAGCATGCAATTAAGCTGTGTGTCTCTAGAGAGCTTTGCGAGCATTAAGGCATAAGACAGGGAGAGAAAGGAGAGGCTTAGAGGAAATTTCTGCTCTGTATACTTTAAAAATTCTCTCATAGTGCTTTTGGAAACCGATACGTTGAAGCATTTCTCAGCCTTCTATATGTGAAGCTTAAGTGACTGAAAGCATTGCATAGGTGTCCATATTAAGCACCGAAACCTCTTTTCTATTCTCCCTATTAGACGCCGTTGCCAAAGCCATGTTAATGCTATTATAGCGATTCTTTGATCTGTTGTTTTTCTCTCTCCCCTTTTCCATAATTTTTTCATCCTAATGAGATCCTAATGAACGAACGATCTCTTTATGGTCACGGATGTTGAGGCTTGCTGAAAGACATGGGTTATTAGTACGGTGTGATGCCTTGGGATGAGATCCATTGCTTTGGCCTTTGAGGCTACAGCTCCTGTAATCGGAGCTCCACCAACCAAATGTCAAAAGAAGCCCATGTGAATAAACCCAGAAGGAACTTGTGTTTTTTTTTGTTTTTTTTTTTTCCCTCTTGAATCTCTGAGCTTCTCTTTACCGTCTGTCACTAACTCTCCTGGTGTTATGTGTGTTACAGGCTTGGACGAGCGCAGCAGTTCCAGTCCTTGGGCTGCTGGAGAGCAGGGCAGCCCTTCATTCAACCAGGAGCGGGTACGTATGAGCCCAAGACAGCAAATTCATTCACTTGTAAAAATAGAGGGATACTTCATCAGTAGTCATTAGAGCTGGACGATGTGGCAGAAATGTAATATTCAGCACTGTGTGTGTGTGTGTGTGTGTGTGTGTGTGTGTGTGTGTGTGTGTGTGTGTGTGTGTGTGTGTGTGTGTTTATGTGTGTGTATATATGTATGTAAAAACAGTACTGCACTGTATGTTTTTACAAACATGCAAATATATGATGTGTGTGTGCATGGCTTTGAGTCACTCTGTAAAGCCTGAAATAATAATTTTAGGTTTTGTGGGAGACTTTCTGCCCCCTTGTACGTTCTTATGTATTAGCATCACACACACAGGCTCATAGTGAAGGTCTGGCCCAGTGTTTAGGTCTTCAATGCAAATTCAACATTATACTGTCAAAGGTTTGATGATAGTAGTAGATGGTTCACTTACATCCTCTGAAGTGTTGACCGAATGCTCTCTCAATGCACTTGCAATCATTAGGTTCAGCTGCTGTCTGGTCTCCAAATCCCCAAAACTTGTGAAAAAAAGTGTGACACAGCACATGAGAGTAAAAGCTATGCACAGGAGCACTTTTCTAATTCTGTTGTTCTTCACACCAGCTTTGTCAGAAAATAACTGTTTCAGACTGTTACATTTTTAGCAATATAATATGGGCTAATAAGTGAAAATAACTGAAAAAACAGATATTTGGTTGATTTTGACAGACTAAGGTGATAATCAAGATGTCTGCAATGATCAGTTAGACTTTATAGCCCTAAAATAAACTGGAAGAATATGGTTGAATATGAAATGCTTGTCTTAAAATCCTCAATTACCAACATTGCTTAAAATAGATACATCATCTTTTGGGATGAAACCTTCAATTATAACAACACATAATGTAGGAGGTGTGCAGACTTTTGAAGAAAAAATATCAGATTGGTGCTCTCTGTTAGCCAGTAAACTTTGTTCCGATATTGGTATTGGGAGGGGAAAAGTCATATTGGCACATCTCTGTAATTTTCTGTATGTTTTTTTTTTTTTCAGAGTTACGTTGAAGGCTCACACTACAGCGAGCATGATGGGCTGTCTTCCCCATTCCTTAGCTCAGGGATCGGCGGTGGGTTTTACGTCTTGAGTTTTGTGTGTGTGCGTGTGTGTGCGTGTGTGTGCGTGTGTGTGCGTGTGTGTGTGTGTTTGTCTGTTCCGGTGATGCTAAGGCCACTGAGGCAGAAACTCTCCCTTGGGTTTAGACCAACAGTGGCTCTTTGTAGCTGAGCACTGCTCCAGCTTTAGGGGGGGAGGGCTCACACACAGCCTCCATGCAGTGGCATTGCTTTTTCTCACCATTTATTGTTCACTTTCAGGGTATGCTTCATAACTTGTCATCACAACAGAATGAATCATAAAACAATGAATCATTTCTGTATATGAAGCAGGTTGCAGTCACTGACAGCATTGCAAGGCTGTAAATGTTTATCATAAAAATCACTTTCTGAAACACTACTGTTTAATGTTAAAATGTACATAGCTTTTCAAGCTCATCTCTTTCTGCCACGTTTCTGTCATACAGTCGATTACCATAGTTAGTAATGTTGGCATGTTTCCCTGTCCTTAGTAACAGAACAGAAAACCAGTTGACTCAGGACTCATTTATAATAGAAGTTGCTTTAGCACCTGCCCATTAACTTCTTTTACAAGTGCATTTGAGTAAAAATTGAATTTCAGATTAGATTGAGAAACGAAAGTATTCTTTTAATGCTGTTATGGTTATGATCTCTGTATATTGTCGCTACCCAGCAAAAAAAATCTGTCTCTCTTTATTGATCTGTATTTTTATACATATTTTGAACACGACATCTGTCTTGTGAGAGTTTAGTAATGACTGGACCAAATTTTTCCCTTCTCCTGTAAATAACTCTTTTGGACATAGATATACTTGCCTATTGTATGTGAATGCGTGTATTTTTTTTTTTTTTTTCCCTTTCCAGGAAAAAGTGAAAGGGAACCATATTCTTCGTTTGGTGCCCAGGTAAGATAAAGCAGTACAATCTGGGATCAGTCTGGTGTGATTTAGTTTTTTTTAGTTAAAAACTCCTATGTGGTTGATCTGTTCAGTAATATTGCTGTTGTCTGCTCACTTCTGTCCATGTAGTCGGGGTTCTTGCCCTCGGACATTGTGATGGCCAGTGCCGATGCCATGTCTCCCTCAGGGCTGAAGTCTGCCTCTCAGTTTTACCCCTCATACACTAGCAACCCCCGCAGACGCCCTCCAGATGGAAACATCGGTATGAGTTATTCCAGTCCAGTCCAGCTGTTGAACTCTCAAATGAGTGCCCTGGCTGTGAAATATTTGGAAACACCTAGCTTTTCAAAATGTTTTTAATTCAAATTAGCATGTTTTCTTTGTTGCTTTGCAATACCTAGATATTCAAGACCCTGGTTTATTTTGAGGAAAACAGTATCATACATCTGAATTAGAGATGCATGATTTTATCAGAATCATATTGGTATCAGAACTTATTTGCTTTGTAGGTATATTGGCATCGGACATATGTTTAGATTCGACCACTATTTCAAACTGTTGTTTGTGTTTAATGTTCTTTAGAAGAGAAGGAAGTTTATGCGATACTGGGCTATTGTACTAAAATTTCCTTTTTTAAAGTTTATTGCTTTGGTAACCCTGCAGAAATAAATGTTAAATTTCTCCAAAATTCTAATCTGAGTAGATTTAATCTTGATTTCTACATTTCATAACTGTTTATTTATCTGCATTGGCAGATCTGTACATGAGAAAAATAAGCATCGGCCCAGAATTCCCATGTTGGCGCATAAATATTTGTGACAGTGTTTGTGATATTGCTACTTTGGGAATAATTCCAAAGGCCACATATGTTATCTTCTTGTTTTGACCTCAGCACTCAGCACTGGAAATGAGCTTATTTTATTATTAAGGCAAGAGCTTGCTCTTCAAACCAAGCATGGCACTGTGGTGGATGCTGAGTGCAGAGTATTGTAATACAGCATTAGTTGTTTAAAGTTAGCAGAATCTTTGCTGGCATTTCTTCTAGCCTTATTAAAAAGTAACAGTGAGAAAAATGTTAGTGTCCCATGCATTTTTACAGGCAGTGTAGTTGTGAGGAAAACTCCGTCTGACAGATTTGTGACCTTTTTCTGTTCTAGAAACTCAGCCAAAAAAGATTCGGAAGCCTCCAGGACTACCGTCATCTGTAAGTATAACCCTGTGGCAACTTTCTTTAAACACCCACCCCCACCTCTTACTGAACATGTTCGGCATCAATAGTTTTGAGACAGGAGTCATGCACTTACGCTGTTTAACAAAACCTCAGGTCCACAGTGAAGTGTGGTGTGCTATATTGTGGCTGCAGCTAGTGTTTTTGTGTCTATTGAATAAAAAGGGTGAGCATGAATTGGTGTAAATAATCGCTAATCTGTAATGCTCTGTAAACCTTTTATGCGTGCATAGGCTAACCAGGAAAAGTCCATTCTGAAAAAGTTGATCCAGCAATTTTCTGGTCCAAGGACTTGTAAGATTTCCAGGCTTTCATCCATTTTGACTTATGTGTTTAGCCAAAATTGGTAAATAAATGCCTCTTGGCAGGCATGAGGAAAATACCCCTGTTGTGAAGCAACATATTTAAACAAAGTCAGTGCAGGTCTTTTTCTCACTCCTACAGAAATGCACTTTCAACAGTCAAGGCTGCTTGTTGTAGCCAAAATAAAGACATAGTGCACTAACAGGAAGCTGTGGAAACTGTGATTGATGGTTAAACTAATCAAAAGCTACTTGGCAAGAGATTCTCTTTTACTGGTTTCCAAGGCCAGAATTGGATATGGTTTAATGACGTATGTTAATAATTTTGGCGTTGTTGCTTGTTGTAAGTGTTGCCATAGTCTTAAAGCCAAAAGAACTCCCCACGTGCCCTCCAGACAGTCCTCCCCCCATATGCCATCCCTCTATTGACCTATGCCTGACCACACGACATTGTCTTTCTCTCGGTCTTGCTACGAGTAGCGGGTCCGCCTTCTGCGCCCCATTTTTCTTCTTTCTTTCTTTCTTTCTTTCTTTCTTTCTTTCTTTCTTTCTTTCTTTCTTTCTTTTCTTCCCCCCTTTTTCTTCTACCCCCTCCCTTACAAACCTGTCTGAGCTCAGATTAATAGCTGCTGATGATCCCAAGCCCCCTTTCCCCTCCCCTCCCTTTTTGGAGCCCCTGCTCTGCTTGGGCTGGGTCTGCTAGGTAACTTCCTGTAGCTCAAACCATCCCCCATCCCAACAGTGCTCTAATACCTTAATGCCTGCGCTGAGTCCTCTAAGGCTGTAAGTAGGCTCTTGCAAAAGAGGAGTTCTGGACACTGGACGTTCCACCGTTTTTTTTTGAGAATGTGTCATGTATACATGTATAGCAGGCTCTTGCTTCCTGAGTTAATTTGGCCTTTTGTCACGTCTTTATTAAGGCTTTCCACCAGTTTTAATATGTTTACCCAGAGCTCTTACCGCAAAAAAGAAGTTCTTGGTATTTGGCCTTTTCCAAGGCTTTTGGTTGACGTTTTCAATTTGTTACTTTCCTTTGTGCTCTGTGGGTTATTTTTTTCTTTGTGGCATACATGCGTTAGTCTATGCCGTCCTTGTGAGTTTTTATTTTAAAACATAAAAAAAACACCTTTACACGATTTGAGAACAATCTGTCTTTTTGAGTTTTTTGGGGGGGAGCAAAGGAAGTGTCTCATTTTTCTCTTTGCAACCTCTTTTTCTCTGGCTTCCACGTGATCAAGCCAGTCTATTTTTTTCCACTTTTTTCCCCTCCTTCAGCAAGACCTCTCCCCTTGCTGCTTCTCACCACCTCCCTCCCCCCTTCCCTTTGCTCCTCTCCTTCTCCCCTCCCTCTCTCCCTCCACCCTCTCCTCTCCTCTCTTCAGCCCAGCTGCCTGTGGAGTTGGACTGGCTCCAGGAGCAGGCAGATGGCTCTGTAATTAGAAGTGCATCTCTCCATTCCCTTCCCACTTCTCCCTGTTAAATCAAATTACAGGAAAAAGAGAAATATCAGTTTGCTGGATTTGTCAGTTCTCCGCTGGGCTTCAAACGACCCCCTCCTGGTACACATGTACACGTGTGCAGTTTTATACACAGTCATACATGGCAGTGGCAGAAGTGCATGGTGGCCTATCATGTCAGAGCATGATCGTTTGCGTGTGGTGGTATGCGGTTGCTCTTGTTGGGTGTGCTGCAAAATACAATGCCACATTTTAAATGTAAGATTTAATGGGCCCGTATCTTATGTTTTTTGTTCTTATATTTTTGTTATTTCACTTATGATGTTCTTGTGGATTTATGTAATGAAAAGGCCGTAATTGTTTCTTACATGACATTTTCCAACCTTTCTTTATCCCTCAGAGTGAAACAGGTGGTTTTTATTACTGTACCTTTAAGAGAGAGTGAATGAACTGTGTTCTGACCTGCTGCTCTGTATTGTGCCTCATCCAAAAACAGTCTGAGTTGAAACACTCGTTTTAACTTCATTGCTAAAATGCTGTAGGCTGAATAGGTGAACATACATAAATGCTTCTGTTTCATGACATTACCAAAGCGATTTATTCAAAATGGGCCATTTTTGCAGCTTAGTTTCTGTATGCGGATTTTATGGCCTAGGGAGTGAACATTATGCTGTAAAACTTGAATAGTGTTTACATGCTGCACCAAACTCTCTTATTTAAATAAGGTCTTCGAAAATTATGGGCTCATGAATCTGAAAGAGCTGAAACCACAAGCTCTTTCAGCTTCCTCTACATTTATAGGAAGCTGTTTAACTTATTTCACTTAAACGTGTTTCAGTTTATTTCACTTGAGAACACAATGCCAAATAACTCTTTTGCAAATCCAAATTCTTCAAACTGTATAATTGCATAAACTATAATTTATCCACTTCTCACACTGTTAACCGTACAATATTCATGTACGTCATAACTGTCATCTACTTCAGTGCTTATAAACTACGTAACACAGATTTTACATCTGTAGTATAAATTGTAGATAATTTTGTGTATTTTATAGATTGATTCTCAAAGGGATCACAAGATGAAATAGGTGCCATAGATGTAGAGAATGCTTTGTGTGATCCTCTAGCATGGTAGACACTGAGGGTGCTTGATTTGGATGAGCTCTGAGAGATGGTGCCCTTTTGTGCGCGCCCACCCTCTCTCGCTCTTGGCTCGTGGGGGAGAGAGAGAGAGGATGCACAGACTGTGCCACAACACGGCTGTGGCTCCTTTCCCAGCATGCTCTGTTCCCAGTCCCTGCCACTTTAGCTGAGGGGGCACTGCGGAAACACTCGCACACGTCATTAACACAATAAATAAATAAATAAAATAAATCTGGAAGTCCTTGACAAACTCTCTGGGTACTGTTCTCTTCAATGCTGAATAGCTGAAGCATGCACAGCTGTGCAGATAATACTGTTTAGGTTTTTATTGTTTGTTCCCTTGAAGTGCAGATGCTGTTAGGTGCTTTAATATGTGGTGTTTATTTTATTTTTGTCCAGGTCTATGCCTCCACGTCTGGTGATGAGTATCCTCGGGACGGTGTAGGATATCCAGGCTCCAAAACGGATCCAGTGTACCCCGGCTCTTTCTACATGCAAGGTGCGTGCTTTTTGAGAAGTTAATGGAATTGTTATATCCTCAACAATAGTGTTGTTGATGTTGTTGATGATGTTGTTGTTGTTGTTGTTGTTGTTGATCATGTTTAACCCCATTTGAAAAATGCAGCTGCCCTTTTCATTTTGTTAACAATTAATGACCAGTAAATCAATAGAAGTGGTTTGAAAATATTTGGAATATTATTTTGTTGCCTGAACATACATTAAAATTATGAATTTCTCTTACAAAGATCCAGAGATTTCAGACATTTTACCCCAGCGCTGATGTGTATACATGTTTCTGCTGTAAATAATGAAATCAATTAGGTTGTGTAATTTATCTCTATGAATCTCTATTCATTAAAATGAATTTTTTTTTAAAATGTTATATTTGAGGAGTTTACTACATTAAATCAGCCTCTAAAGGTCACATCCATCCTCTCCTTTTGTTAACACAGAGAGCCTGCACCCATCCTCTGACCCCTGGGCATCCTCTGGACCTTTAGGCCAGTCAGGCTACTCAGCCATGCTGGGAAACTCTCCCCACATCAGCCAGCCTGGCTCCTTTACTGCCATTAATCCACAGGACAGGGTGGTAAGTCCTTCTCCACTGGATAATTCTGTTTAACTCTTTGCTGCATCACTGTGTCTAACAAGTGAGACCTGATTGTGTCTGTAGAAGCGCCAGCCGCTGCCTCTGTCCCCACAAAACTACCCTCTGCGCGGAGCTGACGTCAATGGGTTCCACTCAGGCTCTGGAGTTTACAATCACACATCCTCCATCAATGGAGCAGACAGCATTATGGGTACGACTCCTACACCATTTCTCTTTGAAATTTTTGGGCATACATTAATTGTACTGTGTCTTTAAAGTCACCATCAGGTTATATTCCAATCAGGTTTTCCCGAAAGATTCTTTTATTGTCTTTTGGAGCTGCCATAGGCATGACATTTTTCATGGTTCTTATAATGTGCTGATCCTAATTTATTCAAGAGCTGAGGCCGATTTTGGTCAAATCTATTTTTTCCATAGTACACCTGCTTCATTGATGTATGTGTTTTTCTTTAAATATTAAGAAGGTAAAAATGATTTGTGTAGGTTATACATATTTATAGTCTTTACATGTAAATTGTGACTGTAAGAACATCCTAATTAGGAATTATGGCTTTGAATAAAATTCAGTGTTGCAGCTACTTACTTTGTTCATTGCTAAGTATAATTGCAAGTCAAGCTTTACAGTTTGAACATGATCAGAACATGTTATTGTGTTATATTTGTGATTAAATGGCAAGTAGTAAGCTGTTTGTTCTCCCTCGCAGCCAGCAGAGGTTCAGCCACAGGCAGCTCGGGTGATGAAATTGGAAAGGCTCTGGCGTCGGTGAGTGAAGGTTTGGCCCTCAGGTCAATTTAGAAACGGCAGACAAAATATTACAAATATTTATTGTAAAATTACTAATTGTAAATTATAAATAAATGAGTGATGAATGGGATGAAATGTTGGAGAGCAGAATAATTGTCTTATGCTATGTCCTGGCATTTCACTTAGGCTAGCATCACCCTCAAACTGACCACAGAATTATATGTTATTATTTGAGATACTGATGGTATGTTTATTTATTTTAGATCTACCCCTCAGACCACAACAGCAACAACTTCCCCTCCACACCTTCCACTCCTGTCGGCTCCCCCCAGGGCATTGCAGGTAGGTCACGCGCACCATTTCTCTCCACCCATGCCCAATGTGCCTGCACTACTATGGTCATAGAGCCAGCTCATAGAATCCCTTAGAACGTCACTTCAGCATAAGTTCTGTTTTTTAGTATGCATGGTTAATAGTGTTGATGAGTAAAGCCTGATCCTAAAGCAGCACTTTGATGCTTGTGAATACATGCTTGGACTGTAAATGAGTGGCTACTTTTGACAAAACTCTGGAGTGCCCTCTGCTGTCCCAGTGGAGGTACTGCAGACTTGAAGCATGTTTTATGCTTGGCTACATTTTTTTTTCTGCAGGTGCATCACAGTGGCCAAGATCTGCAGGCCAGACAGCTCTTTCACCTAGCTATGAAGGTGGACTACATGCACTTGTGAGTCTTTTGCATTTCTTAAAAACATAAAACACATAAAACCCCAATATTACAGCATTTCGTTATAAATAGAAGATGTAAAACAACTGTGTGTGTAGTAAAATTGTTTGTTAGTGTGTTTGACTGCTTTATTCCCTCCCATCCTCAACAGCAGAATAAAATGGAGGACCGTCTAGAGGAGGCCATCCATGTGCTGCGCAGTCATGCGGTTGGTGGGGCCCACTCGGAAGTGCACACCCTGCTGGGTGCCGTATCCTCGTCCGTTCATAACGGAGCACTGGGAGGCCTCTCGCAGAGCTTCCCCAGTGCTGGGCTGGCTCTGGGCAACAGACATCCTTCCATGGTAAGGATGTTTGGCCGATGAGGACATCATTCTGCCAGCAAATGTCACCATATTGTCCTGAGTACTAAATTATTTGATGTGAAATTGGAATATAACTGTGTCACTTTAATGTTGTAACTAGAGAGGTTTTGCTGCTTTATAATTGTTCAGGGCAGGGGTGTCCAGTCTTGTCTGCACAGGGCTGGTGTGGTTACAGGTTCCCGTTCCGTCCAAGCAGGATCACAGCTGGTCTGTTGTTTAAAGACTGAACCCAATTGATAAAGCAAAAGTAAAATCGAGTGTGCTCCTTCTTGGTTAGAATGAAAACCTGCAGCACCACTGTTCATTCACTGCTAAGTTTGGACACCCTTGGAATAAGGGGTATTCAGGTCTGGTCTTGAAGGGTTGCGGTCAAGCACAGTTTGACAATTTATTATGTGCATTAGACCACGGTAAATGGTCAAACTTTGGAGTACGGCCCTCTTGGACCAGGGTTGAGTTGCCTTGCGTTTGTACCTCACGCAAAAAAGAACCTGAACTATAGTGTACACAGTAGTAAACAGCATAAATCTAAAATACACATTATAATCACATTAATGTCATAACATTTACAGTTTGCCAGCTGATACCCAAATAGGGTTTGCACACAATATATATTACATATATTAATGCTGGTTTCTGGTAATTGTTTTGGCCCATGTCTTTAGGGTGCAGGTCACCACGATGAGCCTGCATGCCTTCCTCCCAGCAGCAGCTTATTACAGACATCCCATGCCTCAGGCACCCCACAGCCTGCAGGAGCACCAGAGGGTTTCAGCAGTGAGTAGAAGCCTGATCTGACCTAACAGGGAGCTTTCAGATGTGTACCAAGCTGTTTTGTTGTGCTTTGTTTGTGGTTTGACGTTGGGTTCCTGACTGCAGGTTTGCCAGAAGGCATAGCCTCAAACAGTGCTGACATCAAGAGGGAAGACAAAGAAGATGACGAGAACTCTTCGGTGGCAGATAAGTCTGAAGAGGACAAGAAGGACACCAAAGTGTCTCGCACCAGAACAAGGCATGTCATCACTTACTGCTGATTTTGTATTCGTTACCCATGCTGAATTCAAATGGATGGTGAGAAGATTGAAAAAAATCTTTAAAATCTTGCATGATTGGAAACCTGAAGGTTTAAATCAGACCTCCAGAAAGTATGTCAGAGTGTTTTGATGTGTTTTTGAGCCTCCACAAAGGGCCAAACTCGTTTAAGAAGTGTCTGGGCTTATCCCAGACACGCTGCCTCCTCTCATGGTCTTTTTCCCCTCCCCTCCCCAACTCTCACATTGTTTTCAGAAAGGAGGCGTTTTCCCTCCAGACCCATTCAAGTGTTTCAGACCAAGAAGAGTAAGTCTATCTCCCACCATAGAATGCATTTGGGAAGCCCTATGATCAAGCAGTTCATACTCTCTATGTCTTGGAATCAGTTTTAATGTATACGGCATACACCCATTATGCTAAACACATTTCACACAGTTTTCAAGGGATTGTTCCCAAATGCTGGACGTTTTCTACAATTGGTGCAGACTTTTTCTTGATTTTTATAATTCATAGTGGTTAAGATAAACTCACTTGTGCTGGTGTAGGACTATGCAATAATGATTATTTATACTTGCATAAGCTGTCTGCCATACACATGCAAACTTTCACTTCTGCCCATTTTCATGCCATGGTTAAATTAGTGAGGTAAAATAATTCACTGTTAATAAGGGTAAATGTTTTTCCTCTTGTAGTCAAGATGATGATGAGGACCTGCCGGCCGAGGTGAAAATGGAACGGGAGAGGGAGCGGAGGGTGGCAAACAATGCGCGAGAGCGACTGCGCGTGCGTGACATTAACGAGGCCTTCAAAGAGCTTGGCCGCATGTGTCAGCTGCACCTGAGCACGGACAAACCGCAGACCAAGCTGCTCATCCTTCACCAGGCTGTCAACGTCATTCTTAACCTGGAGCAGCAAGTGCGGGGTCAGTACTGGCAACCTGTTTGTGCCTGCAAAATAAAGGGCTATTTTTGTTTTCCAAAGTTGATGTTAATTTTATAACCGTAACACTTACCTTTATAAAGTGTACTGTAATAAGCATGGCACAGTTTATATCTGACAACATCTGTTTTCTTATATCCTTTTTATCCTTCTCTGTCTGCTTTCCTTCAGAACGCAATCTAAACCCCAAGGCGGCATGTCTGAAGCGGCGGGAAGAAGAGAAAGTGTCTGGGGTGGTGAGTGACTCTCAGATGCAGCTGTCAGGCGCCCACCCTGCTCTGGGAGGAGATGGGCACAATCCCGTCAGTCATATATGATGGTAGGTCTTCAGATGTTCAGACTGATTTAATGATTCTGAACTTTTCTACAAGGTTCTTTTCTCCAACATTTCATCTTTACATTCAAATTATACTTTGAGTTCCTGTTGCTGGTGCTACACATAATAGACCCTGTACTTGTGTTTTTGCACTATGCACAATGAAATAAAACCACATTTTTTTCTAGACATTTGCTTTTACTTTTGCATTATGTGGGAAAGACTCCTTAATTGAACTTTTATCTTCCAGATCCAGCAGTTTTCTTGGCTCATGGAAGAAGTGGCCTTTTTTATCTCTTCCCTCATCCTCTTCAGAGTGCGTGTGCACACACGTGCGTATATAGACATGGAAAGTGTATCTATGAAATGTAAGAGGTGCATCTTCACACATCCAGAAACACACAAGAGTACTGCCAAAACTGACACAGCCCATTTTACCGCACTCCTGACCATGATTACCAGCGTAAATGTGAAGAACTCTTTCTCTGTATTTTTTTTTCTTTTGTATTTTTCTGCTTCCATGAAATGATGGAACACAGGGATAGTTGTGTCGTATCCACTATGGACATTTCCCACCCCACTGCTGAGAGTGAGAGGAGAAAAAAAAACTTAGAAATGTCTGAATTTAATCAAGGATTTGTGCCTAATTGTTACATTTTATAAGAGACACTGAAGCAAATTGCTTACTTGTGTGGAACAAATCTGTTTGGGAGTTGCTTGTATATGAGCAATGTTTTATGTAGCTTGGCATTCCCTACTTAAAGGTACAGTCTTACATGTGTTGTGCAACCAAACCCATGTGACGTGGGAGAGAACCTGTGGTGCTTTTGGGGACTACATATCCCACCATGCCCTGGTTCTGTGGTGGGAAGAAAGCTCACAGACCAGCTGAACTCATCGGACTCTAGTGAAATGAATATTTTCCATCCAGGCTGAGAGTTTTCAGTCTTGACGCACTCTTCAGAATTGTTTTTTTGCGTTGTGAGACCTTACATGGCTCTCACCATTTCACTGGCCACTGCCAGTCAGAGTAAACACGCAGCTCATGAATTCGTTCGGAAGGTGTCGGTCTACTCACTCGCAAGTATTTGGTACGTTTCTATGAAATAATTTCCTTTAGATCGCTTCTTCTCCCTCTGACACCAGCTTGCAATGTGTCGGCCTCATCATTCCTCCTTGTTTCTACTGTTCTTTGCTCCTATTTAAACCCATAGTGTCAGGCATCTCGGCCTCTTGTCAGCAACGTCTGCCGTTATAGATGAGGGAACTCTAAAACTGGCAGATTAAAAACCTGACAGTTTTCTCTCTTATCTTTTTGTCCTTCCAAAAATGTGTACCACCGAGATGAATGTTTCAGTAGAGGGCAGAAAATTATTTCCTTTGAAGAGGGGCATCTTTTACACACAGTGACCCACTCTCACTGATTGTTGCCAAAAGACTGAAACCTCGTACGTATGTCCGCCTCGCACATGCAAAAAGGATATTATTTCAACTTGAGCAAAACATAAGAATATATATAAATATAAATATATATATTTTTTGTTAGTATATACATTGTAGATTTTTAAATAAAAAAAATTACCACTATTAGTTTGAAGTGCAGAAAGTATATTGTGCGAGTGAGAGAGCAGGGACAAGTAAGATGAATTGAGTGGAGAAGTACATTTTCAAAACGGCCCCAGATTGTTTGCATAATGTTCAATTCAGGTCCATTCTATTCAGCTATGCTCCACCACCTCAACACGTGGACAATGTTTGTACATGTAACGTTTACTCAGTATTTTGCTGTGTTTAGGCTTCATTTAGTTCTCCTGTCGCAAAGGATGTGAAGGAGCGCATTGATTCTAATGTTAAAGAGTGCTTGGAGGCCTGTTATGTCAAAGCTTTTGTGATTTTTGTATGTTATTGATAGCTGAAATTCTTTCCTTTCATGAGGGAAGGTGGGTAACACAGTATGCCACTGTCTAATTACAGTTCCCTTCATATTGAAATGTTCTTATGGAATGACACAGCAACTATTGCCCAACTTTGTTTCAGTTTTGACTAAGGAACACATTATGCAACTGGTTTTGAATGTACATTCAAATATAGATTATATTCTTGTTTGCTATACACTAAATTACTGCCAGTTCAGTTCATATTAATTTTATTTCATTTCACAATATATATCTATCCATTTCTGGAAAAAAATCTGTTATTTTGTGTGATAACATGGTTGGTTTAGTATATGTAAGATAATAGTGTTAATTCCGTACAGGTATGCTGACAGTGGCCGTGTCCACAATTATAGACGTGTCCATAATGGGCACCATAATGACACACCGTCAACTACCAATATTTGTTTTCAAAAAGAGATTGTTGTGCATATCAGTTACTGGAAAAAATACATATAATTGACCTTTTTGAACATTTGCAATGTGGCCTTTTCACTCTCCAGACTCATTGAGAGTGGTGCCTTATCAGTGCCTGAATTATTATTTTCTTTTGATTTTTGATTTAACTGTCTTGAATTACTCAAAGTAAAGGCACGCCTATGAAGTTTCTCAACTGACATATTTCATTTTTAAGGAAAAAAAAGGATCAACCTTTCCATAAAGTTGTACATTTATGATTAGGCCTTTTTTGTGTGTTTTGTGAGTAATCTATGGACTCATCTTTTTGCTTACTTGTATAACCTTTTTTTTTTCCTTGTCTTGTCACATACTTTCCTGTTTGCTTAGCTCTGATGCTGTTTGGTTCTGAAGATATTCTTGTTTCTGTTTTGAAATCCCCATGGTCTAAAAAGCACATCAAAATATGGGAGAATACTCTTCCATGAGGAGTTTAAACACTAGACTGTTAGCAGTATTTACCACCAGCCAAATGGGCCCCCTCATAAACATGTCTTAGAAATGTCTCTTTATAGGAGTTTCTGTCCAGCGGTCAGCACAGACTGTTGAAAACTCTGGTTTGAGACTTTGCTTCAGATTTTTTTTAAGAAATAATGAAGTTATCTGACTTCTTTAAATGGGAAAACTGACATAAATCTGTATTATTTTTTTTTTCCTCTTTTGAATGCGTTAGGCGATCTTGCTCTGTCCCAGTACACTTGCTGCCCGAATAAGCTCAGAGAAGACCATCACTGCATCTTCCATTAAACCCATACGAAGTTTTTAAAGCACTGTTTACTGATCTGGTCCCACATGTGAGACACATTACAGCTGAGCAGAGAGAGAGAAAGTTATTTGTAGAGGGCAGTGCTTCAGTCTGACTTTGAAGCTGAATTTTGGGAGATTTAATGATTTTGTTCTTTTGAATTGTAAGACTGAAACCATTGTATTGTTTTCCATAAAACCCATTTCAAAGCTCTGAAAATGTTGACAAGCATAAACAGGCAGGGCAAAAAGCATTTCTGTTCAGTAGACAGCAAGTTGTGATATTTCATGGGCAGTTGTTCAGATCCTTCACACTGCAGCATTAACAGTATGTATTCTGTTTATATATGTTTGGAGTAAAAAAAAACAAAAAAACAAAAAAAAAAACAAGCACTGCCCAGCTTCTCCATCCTGAGACACAACGTTACATAACCTGGCTTCTTATACTTTCAGTAGGGACATGAACAAAACTGCTGTTGTGTCTTCAGAGTGCCTCCTTGTGTGTGCGCGCGCGTGTGCGTGTGTGTATTTTTGGTCTCTCTTATTTTGGTCTTCATTTTTATAAGTATATATATATATAAAGTAGGTATTGCGATCCTGTCCTGTATATAACAGTAATGTAGCAATAAATGTGCCATTTTTAATAACAGAAATATACATTTTTTTTCAATGTCTGGCTTTGAATCTTGTATACCTTGAAAAGAGTTAAATAAATGAAAACATTGTAATAAAAGTCTTATCATTGCTTTTAACACCCCCAATTTCCACCATGCCAAAGGAGAAAAGGAGCTTATGTATTAAATTGTAATATTCAGTTTAGCATTTAGTGTTTCAGGTGACAGAATGTATATCAGCAGTGATTCTAAAAGGAATTAACAAAACTGTTTAGAATGAATGTCTGCTAGGCATACACCACTGCTTTCAAGGTAGTAACTACTTCCATTTACTGAAGCAACATTATGATTTTAATGGATTTAAACTCTGAATATTTCCAAATGACAAAGGGCCTGCTTCTACTGAAGCATAACTGTATGTAAAGGAATCTACTGTTCCACGTGGCTTTCCAATCACATTTTTAAATTTAGTTGTAGTCTAATTTATAATTTCTGCATTGTTGTTTTTTTTTTTTTGACCTATGCATTTATTTTAGACCAAAAAGATCCTAAAGATGTAGCTAGAATATCAAAGTCCTGCGTTGATAGATGCTGCTGAATGTAATACGTTTTAATGCAGTTTTGCAGGAAACTGTATTTGAGGAACTTTTGGACTTAATCATTTTTACTCCTAATATTTTTCTAGCTGCTGTTGCTTCTTGAGTTGATTATTCTACTTCTGCTAGTGGCAGCTACTTTGCTGTTGCTCATACCTTTTACTTTTGCGCTTTAGCATTTTTTTATAGACCAGAAGGATCCTCAGAAGGGAAAAATAGCACCTATCAAACCTAATTTTCTATGTTATTAGATGCTGAATATACTACGAAACTCCTCTGCAGTTCTAATAAGGAAATCAGTTGTCTATACTACGTAGGAGTTTTTGAGCCTGATCCTGGTTGGTGTTTGTTTTATTTTTCTAACCGGCGCTTCCCGGGACACCGCGGGGACTTCAAGCAGGAATTAGACGTGTTAAAGCCGCGTCTGTGTTTTGGGTGGGAAGGAAGAAAGCCAGAGGTGAAAATGCTAAAACTTCTCTCCAAGTTAGTTGGACCAAAATACGTCTCCGTCGCAAGAGCATGGTAAGTTAAACTCTGAGCAGATCTGAACTGCATTTAGGAGAATAAAGAACGTTTGGTAAGCCAGATTGTTGCAGTCTGCCATCTTGGTTGATAATAACGACCAGTAATACAGAATAATGCTCTATATGACTACAGACTGTACTTGTAGTTTGCTATGTAATGTTTTATGCTTTGTTTCCTGCTCGATTTTCCCAATCAGAACAAAGTTCAGTCTGTTTGTGCGCCATCTGGCGGCGGTGTGGCTATAGTGACTTTTACTGCGCAAGCGCACAAGACATCTTGGAGAAAATGACCGTTTGTCTTCTTTCAAATTTGAAATCTAATCTCGATCACAGGGAGCGAGAGGAACCTAAAACCACACTGGAGTAAAAGCGCTATTTCGTTGATGAAATAATCTCGTAAAACTACAGTCTAACAAATGGCTCTTCAAGGGTTCTTTAGTAAGTGTAATGGAACCATGAGTTCTATTTAGAACCATTTAATGTTTTTTTTTTAAATGTTTTCTTTCTTCTGTTTTTACAAGCTTGACATCGTAACAATAGAAGGACCCTTTATGGTGCAATGTAGAACCATAACCACAAAGGTTCTAGATATAACCATATACAACACATTCTCCATCAATCTAAAGAACCATTTCACCATGCAAAGATCCATAGAGTATACAAGTATACAAAGTGTACATGGTTCTTTGAGTGTTTATGCAGCTATAGAGAACCATTGTCTTTACTAAAGAACCTTTGAAGAACCATCTTTTTTAAGAGTGCCGAAGTTCCTTTTCACACAAGAACAAGGTACGAAAGTAGCAGGTCAAAAGCAGTAACTAAACTAATGAGAAACTATCGCTACTTCAAGTAATAGAATCAAGCAATAGAAGAATGCTTTTTGGTGCTACATAGAACTGTATCCAGTACATTCTCCATCAATCTTAAGAACCATTTCACCATGCAAAGAACAATTTAATTATTAAGTCCTGTAAAGAAATCACAGTTCTAAATAGAACAATTATCTTTACTAAAGAACCCTGGAAGAACCATCTTTTTAAAGAGTGTTGAAGTTCCTTTTCACACAAGAACTTGAGTACAACTACGAAAGTAGCAGGTCAAAAGCAGTAACTAAAGTAATGAGGAACCCTATCAATTTTACTTCAAGTACAAATAAATACATGAAATAGGGACGCACAAAAAAATACAGTGAGGGGAAACAAGTATTCAGAAATTTTTGATTTTGTTATTTAACCCTTTAAATGGCCAAGGCCCACGGGCAAGCCCAAAGTTTTATTACACACTTCTATAACCTAAGAATAGCTCAGCCAGCCTGTATTGAAGTTCCTATAATTACTGAATAATAAGCCTTAGTATGTAAAAAGCCTGGGATTTTATATATGGGGCTAATATACTTCTAGTGAATACATCTGTTTCAATTATGCAAACGATGTCTTTTGACTTTGTACTTTAAAAAGTATGAAGTATGTATTTACAAGCATAAACAAAGACAGGTTTAAAAAATGAAATTGATTGGGGGGTTTGGGAGTATTCAGACACCACAAATTAATAACATTAATACTTTGCGGCAAAGCTGTTGTTGACCTGTTACAGTTCGACATCTACTGTTCGAAGTAATAAGCCTTTTTTGCATCATTGTGATGCTCAGTAATTCCCCAATGTTACGAGTGTCCTCCCAATTTCAAAATCCTCTATAAATATTCGAAGGGATTAAAGTGAGGAGATTGCCTAGGCCATGCAGGCATCTTCACCTTTTTTAGAAACCAGTCTTGAGTTATATTGGCTGTATGACTATAACTTGTTGAATTGGCCATCTTGTCACCTTTCTTGGCTGATGAAATTAAATTCTTCTCTAATATCTCCTTATACATTGTTTTATTCATGTTTCCTTTGATGACATGTAAGTTTTGTACAATTTACAGAGGAGCAGCCCCATATCATGGTGCCCACACATGGGTATGGTTAGTGTTCTTCGGGTCATATGCGCAAGCCATCTTTCTCCAAACATGACAAGCTGAATTATTTATACTGAATTATTATTATTGAATTCTAGATTAATTTCGTCTTACCTGGGGACATTGTTCCAAAAAAGTTCAGATATGTCTAAATGCTTGTGTGCAAATTTTAGATGTGCATCCCTGTGCTTTTTATTTTTTTATTTATTTATTTTTTTGAGCAGGGGAGTTTTGCAAGGGGTGTAGGAACAGATAATTGTGGTGCAGTTTGTTGCTTGTTGTTCTCTGTGTAACTGTCATTCCTGCTGCGTTTAGGTCATCAATAAAATCCTCAAAAAAAACAAAGCATCCAGGTGCTGTCACCAACACAGCATTTCTCAACCCTTGTGCCGGTGGCCCACTGCCCTGCACTTTTTAGCATTTTCCCTGCTCCCAACACACCTGATCCAACTAAACAGCTAATTAACAGCCCATTTTTAGTTAAATTGGCTGTTTTAAAGCAGGAAAAGCACTAAAATGTGCAGCACTGTGGGCCTCCGAGACCAGGGTTGAGAAACACTGCTATGGGAGGCAAAAATATTGTGGATTATATCATACAAATTATTCATAATATTAAGATGTAAAATTCCATTAAGCTTGGAGGTTACACGATTGCAAGTAATAAAAGCTAATTTGTTTGTATTTCTTTCCCAGTATGGTTTTAATGTTGTTTTTCTCCCTCATCTCTGTAAGGGCTCCCACTCTACTTGGCTGGAGTGCTGCAGGTGCAGTGGCTGTCGTCCATTTCACAGATTGGCGGCTCATTCTGGATTACGTGCCCTACATTAATGGCAAATTCAAAAAGAACGAGTAGTCTTGCTTTACAGCATGGAAATGAGATTATTGAGCAGTTGGTGTGTATTACACTGAAACATAACACGCTTTACATCCTCTTTTCACAGTCAGAGCTCACCTATAGGTGGTGTTATAGGCAAAAAGGTGTAGCCAGGCTTTTTTGTTTTTCATTTAATGTACAATTATTATCTGCCATTAAGTAGACATTGAGTAGATTTGTGATTATATAGTGTAATGGGTACAAACATTTCTCCCTTTTACTGAACTGGAGAAAAACGGACAGTATATTATACGTTACAATATACTGTCTATGTAATATACATTTATAATACTTAATACATTACAATTAATAACAGACTTTTATGTTTTTGCCTCTGCCCCACTTTGACAGATTTGAGGATGTGATTAACGTAGAATTGCACCGATTTTTCTAAAGTTCTGCATAGTTAAGTCATTCAGAGTTGTTCTTATGTGAAATGCTACATTCTAGAGAAATTTACCAAGTCTCTTACCAAGAACCCCTCAAATTCTTGGTGATGGCAACCAGATGTCTGAAAAGTTTAAAGCCTCTAAAAGCTCCCTCACAGAAAGGTATTATATAAGATTTTACTAACAAGTTGCTTGATGACTGAAACATTGTTTATGATAATGTGATCATGTTTTGGTTCAAAATGCTGGGCGTCATAAGGCAAAGTAGTCGCCAAAGAGAACTTTTTTCCCAGATTTACCACCGTTTTACTATCATCAATGTTACATATAAAAACACACAAAAGACGTAGGTTCACTGGTAGTTTGGATAGTAAACGAAATGGCTATATTTGCGTCACCACTAGTGTAAAGAAATCAGTACCACACTAAACCACTTTTTTTTTTTTTTTTACATCTCAGGAATTTAATTATGCAGGAATTTCGAAAAATCTGTGGAATTCCCCTTTAAACCTGGCAGTAGAATTTCACTTTATATGATGGAACCAGACATCCCACGTAAAAGGGAATGGTGTGGAAATTTCATTAAAACTCTCATCAATGTGTTCAAAGGTTTGACCAAACACCATTCAGAAAACTGATCTATGCTGTAACTGTTTTTCATTCACTATGCTCAGGCACATTTGGCCAGCAGAACTGTGACTCCAGTCCTAAGCAGTGAAGATGGATTAGTTCCCAGATGGTGGCACACGATTTGGCCAAATTTCCGAGCACCGAAA